ATGGGAGCTATGCTCGGGAGATAATATTACCGTTCCTGGACCTGACCTGCTTATCTCTGCTCCTGACCACCCACGTACCCGGACATTCAAGTCCCTACTTCGCAGACATGTCCGTTAGATAGTGTGCCGCTCAGATGATTCAGCTGATGCAGATGATGCAAAGCAGAAACTCGCATTTCTTGCATCCCTAAAGCCTTCAAGATACCCAACATTAGCACGAAAGCACTTTAAGCCGATTCCAAAAACGTGAAAAACACAGGATTCTAGAGCGAAAATGGCCTCCCCCCCTAGCTAACGCTACAGTTAGTACTAACTGTACTACGGAATCATGCGAACCCTACAACACGCCTCAGCACCTTCGGTGCGGGCGGATTTGGGCATCTCAAGTGGACTGGGACATGTTTGACCTTTTTTGACACCTTTGCTGTGGGTCAGCCTTTTGACACATTTATGCTCACAGGAGGCCGATGCTCCACTACAAATGTGCTTAAGCTGTGCCTCTCCGGAAGAATTGAAGACCACGATGGAGAAGGTCTCGGAGCTCATGAAGCGGGTTCAGTCTGTGACATGTGAGGCCAAACGCTTTGCTGAGACTGAAAGCGACTGGCGAAGAGCACCAGACCCCCTGCCGCCAGAACCCCTGATGTCCCGCCAACGACGGACCCTGAAGGTGATCGAAATGCACTTCATTCGATATTGTCGCAGCAAGGGCCTATGGCATTCTAAGCTGTACCATCGTGTATACCCTATAGATCCGGTTAGACTATATTAAGGATGAACTAGTTTATATCCTATTTTCTATCTATTAGTTAGGAATGGAATAGGAGATTAGTCAGAAAATAGACTAACCTATTTGGAGTGAGATAACCTTGAGGTAGCTTATATACTATTTCAAAAATAACATTTGAGATTATTTTCAAAATAAGCTCTAGTGGTGTACAAGAAGACCTCTTGGGTTCAACAGCCTGCATATTTTGTTATTTCGAATAAATTTGAGTGCCATTCCCTTATGCTAGTGCAAGTGTGGATTGACATGGACTGACTATTGGAGAGAGGAGTGGTGTTTATTGGGTACAGGATGGGTGAGAATGTATATTGGAGAGATGTAAACAAATTAATACAAGCCTTGTGTGCTACACATGATATGTTCTTTCTTATCTGCTTTGCTCAAAGGTAAAGCTCAAGCCTCACACTCTTTGCTGAAAAAACAGCTGCCATGTTGCAAAGGCGCCTTTCTCCAGACCCCATGATAGGGGTGAAAGACCTCATGGGCCAATTTCTGAAGAGAATGAAAGAAGCTGGAACACTTGACCTGATGTCTTTGGTCAAACCTGTTGACAGCAAAACCAACTGGAAGACAGCACCTTCCATGTCCTGGCTGTGCATTTTGGCACCACTATTTCTGCACTTGGCAGTGGTTGTCCCCAACCGTTGCTTCGCCAGTAGCAAGCTGAAGTCAGCTTTGGTGAAGCTGGCAGAAGAAAAGGGCTGCAACAAAACTACAATGACCAATGACCTCTGGGCTGACCAGTTAGACACATGGCTGAGAATTGCATCTGCACAGTTCAGGCTTCTGAAGAAGCCAGAGAAATACCAATCACAAATGAGAAAATGCAGTGAGAAAGAAAGTGAAGCCATAGACAGAGTTCTGTCTTTGGTAGAGATCATGGACAAGCAAGAAGAGAATCCCCTGGCCATTGTGCCCGTTCCAGACAGCCACGCTGTACCTTCCAGCAGCTCTAAGTGTCTTGAGCTTGCTGTCAAAGACAGCTCCACAAGCAAGCTTGGCTATGAAGTCTTCCAAAGAATTTTGGACAAGAAGGACAGTTTGCCAGATACACCTGAAAAGGCCAAGGCTTCTGAAAGTCTCCCCAAGCCAGAGCCTGCAGCTGCCTTCCAAACCCACCAGGCAGGAAAAGGGTGCCAATTGCTATTAGAGAATATTGGTGGGAATATTGGAGAGAATATTGGAGAGACTGTTTTTGAAGGACATATTTGAAGGTAACCTGGTGTGGTGTTGTATGCTTTGGGAGGCTATGAAAAGGAAAGCCAGCAGCCTTTCCAAGTGTGAGGAGGAGGTCATGGCATATTTCCTGCAAGAGACCCCCAAAGATCATGTCTTGGAGCCAAAGGCCAAGCTGTTTGTTCATCTTGCTTCAGCTTTGCCACTATTTGTTTGCTTCAAATTTGCCACAGGCTCAGAAAAAGTTGCTTAAAAAGCCTGCTATTAACAAAGGCCACAGTGCTGCCAAAGCCACAATGGTGGCTATGAAAAGGCCTCCTGTGAACCAAGGTCAGTCAACCAGCCAATTGAAAAAGCTTGGCCACAGCAAGTCAGGCTATACAAGGATGTTTTACAAGGCTGGTCCAGCTTATGCAATTAGACAAAAGAATTCTAATCAGCTGTTCCAGATCACAACAAAACAGAAGCCTTGCAAAAGTAAGGGCAGTATGTGATGAGGCAATCACTAAATT